GCCTATACTTCCTGCCTGGCCACTGGCCAATCAGTGTTTTATTTATTGACCAATCAGAGCAATTTGACATACAGACCATCCCACAGCATTTCACCATCCTAATCATTGCTATTATTGTCACCATGACAGTCAGTCCTTTGTTCATATGTTATTTAGGTCCTGCATCTGCAACCAACTGCAAACTGAGGATTTCAATCAGAAAAAAAAAATGTGTTCATACTGAACCTGTCCAGACTTTGCACTTTGTTGTTATTTTCTAAACAGTGCATTACAAGAGCTAATAAACATGTCTAGATAATGTTCTACTTTGCTTTCTGTTGCTGTGGTAAACACAGTAACTATAACTAATCTGGTGGCAAAAGAGTTAATAATGCTTCCAGATAACAGGAAGGAGGAGCAGAGGCTAGAACCATGGAGGAATTCTGCTTACTGGCTTGTTTCCCTATCTTGCTCAACTACCTTTCTTAAACAGTCCAGGCCCTTCTGCCCAGGACTGGAATGGTTCACCATGAGCTGGGCTTAGCGATATCAATTAGCAGTCCAGAAAATGCCTCACAAATGTGCTCACAGGCCAGTCTGATGGAACCAGTTCTTCTATTGAGATTTTCTCTTCTTGGGTGTTCAGCTTTTGGTCAAATTGGTAAAAACTAAATATGACAGATACTATTGCATTGCATTAGGTATTGAGAGTAATATAGATGTAACAGACAATGGTATGCAGTTAATTTGTAAATACTATGCCATTTTATGTAAAGGTATTGGGAAGCTATATAATTTGGTGTCTGTGGGTGTGAGAAGGGGTCCAACATCCAATCCTCCACAATAACAAGAAATGGCTGTTAGAGTTAATTAATTATTAGCTTATGTTCTCCTCTGTTATGTAGATTAGTATTATGTAGATTAGGCATCTAAGTTGCAGAAACTAATTAATATGCCTATGCTTCTAAGTTTGTGAAGTCTGGACATAAAGAACAAAAATCACCCAAGCCAGAACTTCACTGTGTTCGTAGTCTTTCAGTCAGTGTACGTATAAGTACATCATACAGCCATACATATATATATATGTATGTATTATACATACATATACTTTATTATATGTATTTATATTTGAATAAGTGTGTATGTATACTTATGATCAGATACAGTGGTCTATAACAAACCAGAAGACAAAATATCTTTGAGTCACTGAACACTGATTTCTGAACAGATATCTCTCTGAGCCAGTGTTGTGTTACGGTAAATTGTGTATACTACCTCTTGGTAGTAGTATTGGCAAAACAGCCTGTGATCATTACTGTTTATGGGTATTCTTATAAGTCATTTATGCTGGGCTAGTGAGATGGCTCTGTGGGTAGAGGTGCTTGCTACCAGCTTGACAAACTGAGTTCAGTTTTTCAGAATGTACTTAAAGGCGGAATAAAGTTAACTTCTGCAAGTTGCTCTCTGACCTCCAAATGTGCTGTACAAACACACAAAATAAGTAAATGTAAAAAAGTCGCAAGTGTTTATGCTTTATCAGATTCTTTCAGTGGAAAACAAATCCAAAGTTTCCTTTCTCTTTTTATAGCACCTCAAATTTCAAGTTGGCTTTTTCCTTAAAATATGTGAATGAACTGGGCAGTGGTGGCGCACCCTTTTACTCCCAGCACTCGAGGCAGAGCCAGGCATATCTCTGTGAGTCCAAGGCCAGCCTGGTCTACATAGTGAGATCCAGGACAGGCACCAAAGCTACACAGAGAAACCCTGTCTCAAAAAACAGGGCTTGAGTTTGGTTTCCAGTTTCTGTATTAGATGTCGCACAACTGTCTGAGATCAGGAAACCAGCACTCTGGCCTTTGTGCCATACCTTATGTGCACATACACAGACAGACACACACCTACCATTAATTAAAAATAAATCTTACAAAAAGATTTGAAATAATCTAAATAAAATACAAACTAATAACTTTAATAAAAAATATTTTATGGGAGTTTCTGTCCCAATTCTGGAACATTTAGGTAATTTATTCATTACTCTTGATTTCTTCTAGAATGTTTAAATTATGTCCAAGAATATTTTAGATGTATTCCAAATGAAGAGATAAATGTGATATAATCACAAATTTGTAATAAGTATTCTTGAGTAGAAAAACTGTTTAATATTTTAAGCAATTTTGTCTTTGGATCTAATTTTAATTCATAGTAAGTTTTTTGTGGTACAAGTTTGATAGTAGGAGGGACGTGTTGTGTTTAAAGATACAAAATGGAATACATTTCTGGTCCCCAGTTATATTTAGAACCTAGCAGCCCTCCAGAAACTATATTCTTTTCTAACATTTCTACTTATTGCCCAGAAAACAGGAAATTTCACCTGTGAGGTAGTCCTATCATTTTTCAGAGGTTTATCTTCTCTACTTTTGTACAGTTAATGCAGAGAGCTCAACTGAGATTCTATTCAATGGCTAATTTCCTAGTAAAAGCAATGCATTGTTGTTTTTTTTTTTTTTTTTAAATATCTTAAGATTTGGCCTTCTTCATTTTATTAAACTCCAGTCTTTCTATTTTTTCTTATTCAGGGAAGCTTTGCTGAAAACCTTTCATTTCTTCTGGAAGCTTTAAAAAAAGGTACATGTTTAAGATATTTGTAAAAAATTGAAATTCAAAAATATCAAAAGATACTTATTTTGAACTTAAGTCTTCTGATGATGTAAATATTAAAAGTTTTTAAAACCCCCCCCCCATAAAAAGGATATAGGAATTAAACTAATAAGCTAATGGCCTCTGTAGTGTAGAAAATCACCAGTGTAGTGATTTTCAGTATTTGCTTTTTTCAGCTACCACATAGCATTGGGTAGGTACAAGTGCAGCTTTTTATACGAATAAAACCAGTACCAGTGAGATGGCTTAACAAGTAATAGTGCTTCCCACAAAAGCTTGACAACCTGAGTTTGCTAACCAAAGATTTAAGGAGAAAGATGGCTTCTGAAAGTTGTCCTCTGACTTCCACACTTCACCCTGACACTCAAGAGCCTGCATGCACAGATAGCATTCTGACACACTAATAATAAAATTTAAAAGACTAAAATTACTTACCGGTAGTCACAGCACTTGGGAAATCAAAATAAGAAGGACAATAAACTCAAGGACAGGATGAATGAGACTAAGTCTCGGACACACAAGAATAATATCAATTTGCCTGTTCTTTGGTAGGTATGGTTGTCTTACATTCTGCTGTTAAAAATACTATAAATATTTAAATGATTATTCGTGTGTTTGTGTGGTTAGGTTATAATGGGTAGAAATTTGGATTAAAAGGTACCATGTTGAAAAGAATATTGCTTAACCGTCTTTAAAACATGTTTGAGAATACTTTTTCTTCCCATAGTTCAAAAATAAGTTTCTAATTTTCATCTTTAGCTAGCTTGTAGAAAAGAAGCCAGTGTCCGTTTCATTTGTATAATTTTGCTTTTGTTTGATTTGCTTTTTGTTTCCTTTGATGTTTTGGCTGACGATTGTTATTTCCTGTTGATGCCTCACCCTATTTTAGTGATACTTGTCTCATACCTGTTTATGGAACTTCTTGTAAGCTTTGTTGCCCTAAATTTGTACTTGTTTTACTTGCTAACTGAATGGAAGTTTTAAATTTCTACATAACTACTTTTATCTAGAAGCTATTTTTCTCTTCTTCAAATTATAAAATCGTTCACCAATATTTCCTTTTAGTACACATATTTCTAATTGATAATTTGGTTGAATTTTTTCTTGAGATAGTATCTCATGTAGCCCAGGCTGTCCTTTAGTGCACTTTATAGCTGAGGCTGACTCTTAAACTCCTTGTCATCCAGTGTCTACCTTCCAGATTGCTAGGAATACTTGTGTATGCCAACAAGGCTACAGATTTATTTTTATATGCAATGATTTGACTTTGAATAAACTTTTCCCTATTAAAATACTGGCCATATTTTATTAATACTTTTTCTATACTATTTTCTAAATCTGTTTAGTTTTAGTGGTTTAGTTTTTTTGTTTCTTTACCAAAATTAAACCATTTAAGCCAGGTTATTTTGTTTCTATTATCTGGATAAATAAATAAATCTTCTCTTAATCTTTGCCTTAAAAGTTTTACATAAATGTATATTATTCCTTAAGTTTTAATGATTTTTCTACTTAAGTAATTTCCATTCATGTAGAGAGAAAGTGTACCGAGTGCTACTGAACATTACCTGATTGAAATATTAAAACTTGTAGTTAAAGGAATTTTAATGGTTTTTTTTTTTTCACTTCATATTCTAATTGGGTACTTGTAGAGAAAACTTTAAATAGGAAGGTGCATTGTGCATTTCTCTACTAGCTAAATATATCTCTTTTGAAACAGTAGTGTTTATTCATTATTGACTACTTCTATATTCCAGAAGTGTTTTGATGGTATTGAAAAGTCATCTTTGTAAAATTATTAAGGAACCTCACATAATTATAAAGCTGTCTTGCAAATGATTTTCTCAATTTTTTTCATCAAACTGCTAGACTCCTGTAACCAGATGGTAAATTACTTTGGAACAAAAACAGCTATCTTTGTCCTGTGGATAATTTTTCATGTATGAGTGAGCCTGCATTTGTAAGGGCCCTGCCCAGAGGAACTTACTAGTCTTTGTTGAGTTGAATTTTAAACTGAAGTATAGCATTTAGGGAATACAAGAAAAGTTGATGTGTTTTTTTTTGTTTTTGTTAATCTGAAACTCTTTTTTCCTTAGGTGACCGGGCTAGCAGTTGCCCAGTGATCTTCATACTGGATGAATTTGATCTTTTTGCTCATCAAAAAAACCAGACACTCCTTTATAATCTTTTTGACATTTCTCAATCTGCACAGACGCCAGTAGCGGTTATTGGTCTTACATGTAGATTGGTATGTCTTTTCATTTAACAAAAAAAAAGGTCTATTATTTTGATTTAGAAAATAGAAACTTAATAGTGGTATAATCCATTTGACTGAAAGTAAGTTTTAGAGTATTCTGAAAATTATCTTTCTTCAACTCTTTATACCTTGATTCTGCTTTTCACTTGAGGAAATGAAGAAAAGAATTGCTACATATACTACAAGTTATGCTTCAGTCCTTCCAATGAAATCATGGAATAAGACTCACGAATACTAGTGAGATTTCTACTGTAGCGAGCAAAAACACAATTAAGTAATACCAGAAATATTTTATAGATTGGTCTTTTTTACTTTGTCATACAAGATTATTTTCATAATTTAAAATAACTTGCTAAGAATATACCTCCATAAATTCTATCAATCTTTAACAACAGTAGAATAGATTTGTTTGTGGTGGGTTTTAGAATGGTCTCACCTGGATTCTAAGTATTGAAGATTTTAGACAGCTACATGGGTCTTTTTGTGCTTAATCTTTTTTTTTTTTTTTTGTCCAGTCCTAAGAAGTGAACACTAAGATCTTATACATAGTAGGCAAACACTCTTATCACTGAACTGTATTCACTGTTTTGAAAGAAAATCTTACTTGTGAGTTTCTCAGACTGTCCTTGAACTCACGACTCGGGCAGACCTGGAACTTATTTATGATCCTAAGTGGCACAAATTATAGGATTATACTCCCAGGGCCATCTATGTCTGTGGTGGGTGCTCTTATATATACATGTAAAACTGGGTGAGAAGCACCTTTCTCTGACTTACTGTAGCTGTCATGTTTCTGCAGATTTCTTCATGCTCCCTGCCTCCCATCCTTTCTTTATAAGCTTATGTCAGGCTGGCTCATTTATTTATTTTTCTTTCCTACAGCTCTTTCCTTTTTATAAAACTTATTTTTTTCCAATTCATCTTTCAACAGTCCTCCTAATTTTCTGTTTCTATTGCTCTTCTCTGAAATTTGACATCCTCATACTTAGTGTACTTTGTGTGCTTTCAGATCATTCTTCCAACATAGAAGATCTGGCTAATAGTTTCTCTCTATCCTTGATACTCTACTTATCCTCCCTCCCCATACCACCCCCCAAACCAGAAACTACCACCAGTGTAAAAGAACCACCTTGCTTTAAAGCAAGAGTAGGGAAGTAGGGCTGGGCAGAGGGCTTAGTGGTTGTAGACCTGCTAGGTAAGTGTGAGGAACAATGTTCAAACCCCCAGACCCCTGATGAGCAGGGGATGGCAGCCCACCTGCAATTGCAGATCTGAAGGCCTAGAAAGTTTCTTTGTAGCAAACTACCTGACCAGACTAGCCATATTGGTGGACTTTTCAGTTGAAAAACTCAGCCTCAATGAACAAGAAACATGGAAAAACATAATGAATACTCTTGACATTCAAGTCAGGCCTCCACATATACATGCAATGGAAAAACATAATGAATACTCTTGACATTCAAGTCAGGCCTCCACATATACATGCATAGGCATATGTATGCAAAGCACACCACATATACATATGAAAAGAAAAATTCTTTGGGTGAAAGGAATGGCTTTCTCCATAAGCATGAAGATTTAATAAGTTCAATCTCTGGTACCCATATAAAAAACCAGATGTGATGGTGGGCCATTGTAAACCATCCCTGGGGAGGTGGAGACAGGAGAATCCCTGTGGCTTAGTAACCAGCCAATCTAACTAAATAGGCAAGCCTTTTTTGTCCTTTTTTTTTTTTTAAAGATTAATTTTGTGTATGTGTATATGGTAAGTTGATATGTATGGACATGCATCTGGGGGTCAGAAGATAACTTTCAGGAGTCCATTTTCTCCTACCATATGAGTCTTGGGGATCAAACTCTGGTTTATACACTTGGTGGTGATTTCTTTTAGCCACTGAGCCAGACCACTGTCCCTGAGGAACCCTGTCTTAAAAACTAAAGTGGAGAACAGTTGAGAAAGACACTCAGTATTAACCTCTGGCCTCCATACACACCCTCCACATAAAAAGATTCATGACCATGGGTTCCCCAGGGTCCAATGGGGCTTTGCTATGTCCGGCGTGGGACATCAGGAAAAAAATCTATGTACACTATGTTCTTATGTCTGTTAACTTTATTCCTCTAAGACAAAATTCTATCAATTCAGCTATAGCTCCACCAGGCATTCAAGGCAGGAACAACTCTAGATATACCAAGCTCTATATTTCTCTGGGATGAAATCCTCTCTCCATAACTGCAGTTCCGTCCAGCTCCCTAGCTCATTGTACTGCTAACAACTAACTCCTATGCTTTCAGCCTCATCCTCTACCCTCTTTCTCCATCTCTGCTACTCTCTACTCCTGGCACTCAGAAAACTCTGCTGGAGATCTGCTTCCACTCTATGGAACCTCTGTCTCGCTCTGTAGACCAGGCTGGCCTCAAACTCACAGGTCCGCCTGGCTCTGCCTCCCAAGTGTTGGGATTAAAGGCGTGCGCCACCACCACCCAGCGAGTACAATTTCTTAATCTTAAAAACAAATATGAGTATATTTGTATCTTTGAATATTACATGCATTAATTAGCTGTTGTCACTATAAACTACTAAGAACATTACAGGTATTTGCTTTTCCCCTCTCAAACCCATACAGCTATTAGTCTTTGCTGTTTGCTTCCTAAATGACCCATGATTATTTAAAGTTTTTCCTGTGTAGCATGGCTTATTAACCGTTTTGCTTATTTTCTATCACAAAGATCGTTCAGTAAGAAAAAATATACATTTTTCTGGAGCTGCCATCCTCTTTTAAAAAAAAATTGATTGTAGAAAATACCAATACTTGTTGGAGATAATAGTCCTGACTCTCCTGTATTTATGCTTTTATTATGTAATTTTAGTAATTATCACTAATAGTTTAATCTATACTTATCTGTCTTCTTTCTCTGTAAAATATTGGGGCAAAAAATAATGTCATCTCACAGTTAATTATTTACTTAATTTTAAGAAGATGAGAACTTTTAGCCGGGCAGTGGTGGCGCACGCCTTTAGTCCCAGCACTTGGGAGGCAGATGCAGGCGGATCTCTGAGTTCCAGGCCAGCCTCATCTCCAAAACAAGTTCCGGGAAAGGCGCAAAGCTATACAGAGAAACCCTGTCTCGGAAAAAAAAAAAAAAGAAGAAGAAGATGGGAACTTTTCAAACTTCATTTCCTTCTTGTAATTACACCCTAAAAATAATTGGATGGAGAAATGGTTCAGCCATTTAGAGAATTTGCTGCTATTGGAAAGAACAAGAGTTCAGATACAAACACTGGTTCTTTCCACTGATCATAGCAGCTGAATTCTAGTAGTTCAGCAAATAGAAGTTGGCTCTGTTACATATCTTGTCTCTTGAGACTCTTAAAATTGTGAATATCTCTGAATTTTTGTTAGCTCAGATTTTTATGTCAACTTTTTTTAAGACTGCAGAATACCACACTGATGTGCTTGGTGTTCCTGTCAGTCTGGGTTTGGGAATAGTCACTGTTTGAGTGTCCTTAGTAGATCTGGGAATGTTAGTACTTGATATCAATCGGGACAGGATACCAAGCTACTGGTGCCTAGAAAGGAATTATTTAGTTCAGCAGTTGTCAACTTGTGGGTTGTGTCCCCCTTGTGGTCGAATGACCACAGGGGTTGCCTAAGACCATCCTGGGTATCAGATATTTACATTATAATTCATAACAGTAGCAAAATTACAGTTATGAAGTAGCAACAAAAATAATTTCATGGTTGGGGGTCACCACATGAGGAAATGTATTAAAGGGTTGCATCATTAGGAAAGTTTAGTTTCCCTCAAAATAAAATGCTTACTTATAGATTATAAATAAATATTGCTTACTACAAGCTATAATTTGCTGATTTTCTAACAGCATATTTTTCAACATGCTTTCTTATACGGATTTCTCTTTTGTTTTCAAGGATATTTTGGAACTCTTAGAAAAAAGAGTGAAGTCACGGTTTTCTCACCGGCAGATACATTTAATGAATTCATTTGGTTTTCCACAATATATGAAAATATTTAAAGAACAATTATCTCTACCTGAAGAATTCCCAGATAAAGCTTTTGCTGAGAGGTGGAATGAGAATACTCAAGTAAGTTGAAGGCAATAATGGTAAAGAAATATGTATCTTTTCATGTTGCTAGAGGAGTGCAATTATAAACTGTTTTCTTTTTTAAGGGCAATAGACATACCTTGTTTCATAATTATCTCTTTTCAGAAGAACTTAGGTTAAGCTTTAGCACTCTTATCAGTAGTTGAAGTTTTTATTTTTATCTGGTTTACATTTTAGGTTATTTTTTTAATGAATTTACATGACTTAAATTTTATTTTCTATATTTTGCTGATTTGACACAAAGCGGTATTAACAGTTCACTGTCGTTCGAATCTTAGATGGTCTTTTAATAAAAAAAAACCCAGAGTCAGATATCAGGGTGAAAGCTGAAAGATCAGAAGCAGAGCAGCTAGCCAGTAGTTCTTACCTGTACAAAATCCTCAGTCTAAAGAGAGTGAGTTCCTGTTTCCTTACGCCTTATATACTTTTCTCTGCCCAGCCACCACTTCCTGGGATTAAAGGTGTATGCCACCAGTGCTTGGCTCTGTTTCCAGTGTGGCCTTGAACTCACAGAGATCCAGACGGATCTCTGCCTCTTCAGTGATAGGATTAAGGGTGTGTCTATGTCTAATCTAATGGCTGACTCTGTCCTCAGATCCCCTGGCAAATTTATTAGGGTATGCAATATATCACTACAGTTCACACTTATCCTATGCATATGTTTTTATTTCCAGTTCTCATAAATGATTTCAGCTTTGTTTCATTAATTAAGAGACTGTCAAACTGTGCCACCTCTCATGTATACTAGGCAACCAGACTACCACTATAATGTATTCTAGCCCTACCTATTTGTTTATAACATTTAAGTCCTTACTTGCAAACTAAATTTTGTTATGTCAAGAATTCAGTGCTTACATAAGATTTTTTTTAATCTTAACTTTGTTCTGATTCATACTTCCTCACTAACAGTAATTATTGATTTAACAAAATACATAGGAAAATCCATTTAAGGTAGGAAGGGTTGAGAATATGTAATTGAGTTTGAGGATATAGTGATGGAAAACACATGGAGGCCAGAGCTTTCGGTAGCTGTTCAACAGCACCTGCAATCAGGAAAGAGAGTGATGAATATTCCTATTCAATGCACTTTCTCTCTCTCTCTCTCTCTCTCTCTCTCTCTCTCTCTCTCTCTCTCTCTCTCTCTCT